TGTGCAGCTGTTACACTAGAAAAAAGTAGAAATACAAGCTTTCTTAACATTGCACTGCTTATACTCTTTTGGATGCTGACTCTACTGATGGGGAACATGCAACACACACTTTCCACCTCATCCGTCTTTCACCAAAGACAGCCTACAGTGAAATCAGCTACTGGTATTATAATAAAGTATTTGGTGGTATAGACCCTCATCTATAAATCTATCTGTTCAGACAGAAAAAAAATGTATCCTCCCAACCTATTCCAACATTGACCCATCTTACAGACAATCACATCTATTTGCATGTTCCACTTCTCAATAGCTGGATAGTGCTTAATGAATTACACAATATTACATAGTTGGTTCACTGCTGCATTATAAGAACACACCAACATTAAGACCTTCTTGACCAAACCTTCCCCAAAGCTCCTGTTGTCAGCTGTAGAGCACACACAAAGAACACAAGCACTTACTAGCTGTAAACCCTTGCTAGTCCAAACGTGTCAGGCAAGGCAAGGTACACCTTACAGGCCAACAGGACCATGGTATTTGAGAAGCTCCTGCTAAAACTGAATCAGGGCATAACAGAGAGAAATAATACTGCTCTCGTCAGGGACAGAACCCATTCCCAAATGTTACATCTCAGCACCTCTCAAGAATGGACGCTAAAGGATTTAATTAGATAAGTTCTCAGAATCCATGAGATGGAGAATTTTCCTCAATTTTTTTTTTTTTTGCTTCTCCCCCACCCCAGAACACCCTCCTTACAAAATCAGATTCACAGATTTCACTAAAGAAGATAAACCTATTTCTGATGGACTACTTGTCACTCCATGAGAAAAGTAAGAAGAGATTTTAGTAAGAAATTAATGCTTTATACTTCCCATCTATTCTTCTTTCTGAATATAGGTCACCGTATTTACACTGTATCTTGAACATGAATTTTTTATTGTTTAATTCTAGTTTGACACACATTTTCTAGTTATACGTAAATTTAAAGTAATTGAGATGCTGCCTTCAAAGAACAACATTAAAGTACTGCAAAAAGCAGATGTCAAACATTTGGCAGTTTAACTAACACAAAAGAAAACCTACAGCTGCATACAAATACATACAGCTGCAAACAATGTACAGCTGCTGCATAAAGTTTTCTTCTTTTTGCCTCCCTCCTCACCAACCAGAATCAGAAATAGATATTTATAATTGTTTTAGTGGAGAAAAACCTGCACCAAGAAGCTCTCATCAGGTAGGAAATGCCAAATTAGAAGTGCTTCATACAACCAGAATTGATACCCTTGTACCTAAGCATGATGATATCATCCTTAATCACTGAACATGAATTTCTCAAACACTGTTTCTGTGCTACCTTTCTAAAGCTTTCAGATCCTTAATATATGGCACTATGCAGATACAGAAAAACTGTCATCACCACCAGGCCAGCATCAATGTGCTTCCAAAACTTGGTCTAGGGCAAGCCAGCTCTAATAGCTCCAAGACCATCTCCTTCCGTGGGCAACAAAAAACCCTGCACCAATTCTGAATGCACCAGCAGCTCTCAGGTGTCCTGTGGCACAAGGCCATTTATTGCTGTGATTGCTCACGCTCGAGGCCATGGTCAGAGCAAGGCCAGCTGCCAGCTGAGAAAGGTGGAAGGCAATCCCCAGGAGCATGCTTGAAGAACAGTCTTTGCTGTCTCCAGGCTCCAGCTAACAGCAGCACTACTGAGGTCATGAGCATGGACTGGTGTCCAGAGCATTCATGTGGGAGCCCTGACAAATTATATTATGTTCTAAAAACATCTGGGGGTTTGGGGGGAGGAGAAGAAGGAAAGGAAGGAAAGGAAGAAGGGAAGCAAGGGAAGTAAGGAAGGAAGGATGGATGAAAGGATGGATGGAAGCAAGGATGGAAAGAAGGATGGAAGGAAGGAAGGAACGAACGGAGGGAGGGAGGATGGAAGAGGTGGAGCTAATGAAGGAGAGCAGGTTAATACTTCAGCACCAGCACAAAGAGAATAGGAATTGCCCTGACAAAGATCAGTCTGAAAACACACCCTAACGTTAGCCTGGAGTTGTCTATGAGGTCATCAGTGAGCTTTTTATTCAACATCTAGTACACTGGTCCTTGATCTGCAAGGAACCCACAAAGTTGCAGTGCACCAAATAATCAACCAAATGAATTTATTAACTTCTTTCCTCCTCCTCCCACCCCAGCCCACCAGAACACTTAAAACTCAGACCTGACCCACAGATTTCTCTGTACATGCGTAATTCCATGGTAACCTTCCTAGTGAAGTCATTGAGATGATTCATAAATTACACCTTGCTGTGCTTGCAGGATGGAGCCAAAAATTTCTTTCTTTAGCAATGTTGTCATTCACACATGCACTGATTTTTTTTTTCTTTTAATTAAAAAAACAGGGAGGATTTTACTTCTGAAATTCAATCTAAAATAATGCCTTATGAAAGCAAAATACCTTTGTAGGCTAGCATCAAAGACTGCTACAAGGCTCCATGGAAAAACATGGGGTTTTTGTTTGCTGATACAAATCCAGCAGAATCAAAGAGAATACTGCCGCCCCTCCTGGTCCTAAAACACATCTAGGTTTTTGATTTCCAAGTGAATGCCTGGAAAAAAGTAAAAACAGAACTTGTTTCCTTGCATTGTTTTAACATAAATATATTTAGGCATTAAAACTTCTAGTCTCCTGAAAGTTCATTCCTAGGACTAAATCATTTGGGCATGAAAACAATTGTTATTCATAAGCACAGATAAAAATCCGTAGACTATTACTGGGTTACATCTCATTTTTATGACTCCTTTCCCCAAATAAATCAATCACATGAAGTTAAACTCAACATGGGGAGTTAAGCTCTCCACAGAGACCGTGGAGATTGCAAACATAAGTCAGATAGGAAGAAAGAAAGCTGAGATAATGGATGGTTTATACTGGTTTACTTCAAAGCCCTGAGAGATGGCTGAAAGTGTTAAGATAATATACAATGAGCACTGATTCCAGAAGAAATAATAGAAGCCTCTTTTACCAAACATGCAACTGTAAGTAAAAAACCCACAACATCTCCAACTACTTCTCCAACTGCACAGAATTTCTATTATATCAAGAACCTTCTAAAGATTTGCAGCAAAATAATCAGCCTTAAAAATAGTCTTAAGTAGCAAGCCTGTGGTTGTCCTGATAACTGGCAGTATCAGGAGATTTGGTTAAGAGTCTTCCATAAAGACAACGACCTTCTCAGCAAAGGGCACATGGAATTAGTCACGCTGCACACTATTCATAGGAATCACACATGATAGTGAATGCAAAACACCGCATTTTCAGAGATAATTAGAAGCAATTTCCTCAAGTTCTTTTTCTTGTCCTGGATATGTAAGAATAATTTTCTTATTCACCCAGATACTGTTTCAGCATAAAATACAGTGCGATCCACACATTCAGGTATTCAGAAAAAATAGTAAAGACTGGTCATACATCCAAAGGTGGGTATTTTGGTTCAGAACTATGTTTTATGTGTTGAAGGTTCAGGTAAGTGCAATACTGCTACTGTACAAACATTTTACCTCCCGCCCCCCCAAATTATAATCTCGTACTTAGATCACAATTAAAAGTGAGACGAATTACTTGATTCTCTGCCTGTGCACCCTGCAAGTACCTAGTTTCAGCAAGATTCACAAAAATTGATCAGAGGAGACGCAGGACTGGAATAAGAAAATGCTGGAGGTCAAAAATGAAATTTATGAATAAAAGACATGGGAAAGCTTAGTGCATATGTGAACCTGTGTTGCTCAGTTTTATATACACATCAGCAACAGAGTACAACCCTGCTGCCTCATCAGTGTTTAATTAACTTTTACTATTTTTTAAGATTGTTCTCTTTCCTTTGTAAAAAAGACCCAAACATCAGGAAGATGGGAATGGCTATACAAAAACAACAGAACTCTCTACAGTGTTTTGATCAATTGCATAAACAAACAAACTGGGGAAAAAAAAAAATCAATTTAGAGTAAATTTATATGGTACTTGTAGTAGTATATCAAATCTCTGACTTGAATTTCATCTTCCTGTTGATTGTGCCCATTTGAAAGAAAAAAAATACGGGTTACAAAGTTATGATCAATTATAAAACACAGGTGTCGTATTTCATAGCCTCTGAATAAGAAATATCCGCGTATCACAGTAAATGTCATTAGGGCACTAAGGCCTCAATTTTGAGGGTCTTCTAGTACAAGGTGTCCTACTGTCTGAAGACACCTGCTTCACAAACCATTAATGTTTTGGTTGGAAAAGTGGCATGAGAGCACAAGGCAAAAGAAATTGAAAAAGAAGTGATCTGATGCTTCTTGTCAGGCAGAAGCTGTAATTCAAATGTTTGTTGGGAATCATTGCTATCTCCATACACAATAAAACAGTAAAAATAATGCAGAGTCACACAACTCACAAAAATCCACATACAGTGGTTTTTGAAGCCTGCAGTTATCTCTTCAGGCTATAGCATAGCACTGTTCAAGAGAAACAGGTGAGCTTGAAGAATTATGGACTAGAACTAGTTAGAAGTTTACAACTGACACTGGCAGTGACTGGGAAAAGCATTTCAACTAAGTGTGATTTTTCAAACAAAAATGTCCCTTCTCTGGAGAAAATACCAAGTTTTGTAGAAAATTCGCTGGTCCAAAGCTCCCAAAATTCTCATTCCCACCATCTTTTTCTGTGTGAAAAAAAGCTCCCTTAGGTTTATGACCAGATCCAATGAAGACAACAGGAGATTTTCTTTACTGAAAGTTTTTAACTGGATGTGGCAATTCAGAAAGCTGAAGGGAAGATAATCAGTGCATCACACTCAGAGCAGTCAGAGTAATAATCACTGAAATATGTTCAGAATGGTAGATAATTGTATTATTATTAAACATAATAAATATATATATAAATCAGGCATAAATGCAGGCATGTCACTAACATTAACTGCAGGTTTACTCCTTAAATATTTCAGACATCATACCTCGTTATTGACTTCAGCAGGTTTTTTCTTTGTTTCTCCAATGTCCAAATAGCTGTGGAAGGAAAACAGCTTTGATTATTTACAGAAGCATCCAACTTACACAATACAAATATTTCTACACTTTCTTCATACATGAAGCTTTTAAAATTTTTCATGCCTCAAAATAGTATAAAAAGTAACTAATTCAAGATTTTAATGAACGAGTGTTAATAGAAATCTGCAGGCTAGCCCTCCGGGCTAATACAAAAGGCAGGGGAGAACCAACCATCTACCTTCAAGTCACTGGTGATTAGAAGAAACCATCAATAACTCCCTTGTCAGAAAGAAGCTTACATACTATTGTGAGGTGGTTCAATAAATCTCAGCACATTATCAACTTACCAGAGTTTTCAAAGTCATCATCTTGCCTCTTAGTTTCTCACAGTAAGTCTCTGATAGACCTAAAGCTTTCCTCCATACCCAAGTTTAACCCAGGGCATCAGCTAAAGTTTAAAGGGATCTACACCACTTGTGTTTCAACAGGACACGGACACATCTGAATACGTATGTCCTAGTTTCTCATGTTTGTGATGAACCAACAGCATCTTCACATTATTTTATGAACAGACAAAATACAAGCCTCAACTGGACAAGAAAACAAAATACATCTATTTGAACAATACTGCTCTCCATCAGGGTACATATTCCCACAAAAACATCGCATTAACACAAAAGTGTTAGTTAAAACACTCAGTGATGGATTAGCTGTATGTTGCCTTTCCAAAGAAAGGGAATCAAATAAGCCTTCAAGCACGAGTAGCCCATAGACTGGCAAACAGGCAACTGTCCAAATCCCTGGACTATGCTAACTCCTTTCCCTTGTCAGCACTCGGAGAGCCATGAGAGCGGTTCTTCTCATGAATGCAGCTCTCAGTAGCTGCCGGTACCGCAAGATGTTTCTAGCTCTCAGCGCTGTAGGAAGATACACCTTTGTGGGCAGTTATAACTCAGTACAGCAGCACCTTTCAGCACCTTCTGCCAAGAGCTAAACATGACAACAAAAATGGCTGGGGCATCTATACTATGCTGCGAGCATCTAACCCAACATTAGGTGATGGGCGTTTTTCACAGGTTCTCCCTGTTCCCACTTTCAGTGGGAAACCACAGGTGCTTTGCCAGGCTTTTAAGACTAGACGACCCTACCTGAGAACATCAGGTATACCTGATGGTAAGCATCAGCGCAGGCTCATCAAAAGACCTCAGGGCTCGCAGTGCACCCACAGCCCTCCAGTAATGTCATCCTCTGTAGTTAATGACTGGGATAACATATGTTTGCCAGAGGAAGCTTTCCTGCCTGGCCAAAGTCGAGAATTCAAGGGATTTGAATGAAGGTGTAGAAGCAAGAAAGAAAAGAAAAAAAAAGAGAAAGAAAAAGCATCATTCATTCTTTAAAGGAATGGCAATCGTTTATCAAGGTACCACAGAACGGTCACGAGGATTTCAAGGCTTCAGTGCGGGGATAGGAAGACATAGCAAGGCTTCCAGGCAATGCTTGAAAGTGCATTCCAATGTTTTGGAAAAGGTAAATGTAGCAAAGTAGGGCAATGTTTACAAACAAAGTATCCAAGCCTCACATTTGAAAACAAACAAAAACTACTGTTGCAAGCTTCTCCATGTAAAAAGGAACTAGTTCTCTTGAGACTAAAAAAAAGAAGTCTTAAAGCCTATAAAACTGAAAATAAATAAATGTCTCAGACAAAACAGTTCCAACAGCCTGTAACAACAGCTGCTGACTGTGGTTCTTGTTTTCTGGGCATCTGTGAATTACTTTGAGGAGAACCAAGAAAAGTGACAATCAAATACATAGTCAAAGGTGTAAATTCACTATGCAGAGGTCTGGGCATTCAGTTGTCAAATTTCAGGGATCTACAAATCTGAAAAGGTCTAAATAGGGCCAAAGGCTTTTCTTAGGATAATGGCACTCAAAAAAAATCCCAGACCAAAAACTTTACAAAAGTATTCCCACTTGCTAAGAAAGCAGAAATACTTCCACTCAGTGACTGTCCAAGCCAATGATAAAACTACAGTGTTGTTAAACAGACATTGCTGGAGAGAGGACAACCTACCATTAATTAATGAGCACAGATACAAGTAAATGGGCAAAGGAAGGAGGAGGGTAGAGTAGCATGCTGGAAAAAAAAAAAGCTAAAAATTGAAACCAGCTCCAGCATAGACAGTTTTCTTTCAGGAAGCTGAGAGTCCACAGGAGTGCAGGCTTGAACGTGTATTCTCACTCACCACTGCGACAACTACAATATACCAACACACCTCACTGCATATACAACAAAAAAGCGTGTATTAGCACTTAGCACACCTGTAAATGATGAAACAAGCTGGGAAACCTGTTATATATTATGAAAATTCCCAACATTGGTTAATAATTCTTCCTTTAAAGAAAATTTCTACACCATTTTCTAAAACCAGAATTTTTAAATGCTGATTATTTTTATTTTAGAAATGAAACATATCAGCAGCTTATATCGCCTATATACCCTCAGAGGTATTTATTTCAAGATGTTAAGATTCAGGGCTTGGAATGATGGAGGTTCACGTGCTAAAGGTGAGTGCAGTTTAGTCTAGAATTCACTGCAGACAGGGAAGAAAAAGATTCAGTTCTCAGTATAAGGCATCCAAGAAGAAACAAATGCACTGTTTGAAGTGGAGCAATGACACTTTCAGCTTCTGCTTCTCCTTTGACACTCTCTCCTTTCCATTATGCTCCCACACAGCCTCCATTTCAAAGTTCAGCCCTGTATAGTCTAATACAGCAATGAATGTGTCCGATAAGCATCACTGCAAAAAAATTGTAAAAAAAGTACAAACTTCTTGCTGCTATCAGACCAGACTCGGCTCCTTTAGGGCAGATGCTTTGGTCTCCCACAACTGCAACTGCTTTATCTTTGCCTGTGACACATACACAAACATACGCTCTTTTCTTTAATTCCTTCAATTCCTTTCAGAAAACCGTCCCTTTCAATTAACCCCTCCTCTCCTCTGACTTTTCTGGCTAAGATGTCTCCCTAAGTATCATTCTGTCTACAACCCAGTTAAGAACAAGATCAACATTAAGCCCTTCAGCCTGTCTTAATGCCTGTAAAAGCACTGCCAGCATTCACAGCACTATATAAATAAATACTAATAGTGAAGAACTCCAACTCTGAATGCAGAAATGGAAAAGATCTCGAGTCATCCTGTTTATCCTCCCTACAGCACAGCACTATGGTATACTATCAAGGGATATATAAAGCAGCCTGCTTTCACCAAGTCCTTTAGGTTAGCTTTTCTTCAAGTATTCTCTTCATTGAACTAAATACTCAGGTATTTTGTTGCAAGCCTGAAAAGCTCTCACTATAAAACACCAATCATAAAACATGACATGACAAAAAGAAGTGCTTTTTCCCACCCAAAATAAATCCACAGTGCCCAATCCTCTACACAGTGCATGCTAATGCCAAACACTTACTTTTAGCCTGTCTGTTGAACATAAAACACATTTAGGGAGGTGAGACAGGATGTGCTGACAACTAACAACTTTAAGCCATCCACAGAATCACAGGATTTAATACCAAAAAGATACAGTAGACCTTTATTGAGAGTTGAGCACTGCATTTGACATGGAAGAGAGTACAGAGGGAAAGGAGCTTATATTTAGCCTGTCATACATATTTCTCTCTAGCTTTGACACTGAAGCGCAAGAAGCTTCAATAAATCTTCAGAAGCAGCCACTGACAAAAACAGTAGGAGTGCTGATAGAGATCCTGTTCATTACACAGAGAGTTTCACCCTGAAACATAATGAGCTATCCTGAAAAATGTAGTGTCCTCAACTCTACAAAACCAAGATGAGCAAGGTCCTGGAAAGCTGGTAGTTGAGCATATAAACTCCCAACCACCTCCAGAAAGGCACTGTTAATTCTGAGACTTTTTTTTTTTTTAATTCAAATGTAGGAAAAACACCCACAAAGACTGAACAAAACATGTAATTAGGCAACTGAGACCATGAAATTCACTGCCAGAATTAAGAACCATTACTGATCACATACAGAGCCACACGGAAAACACACCTAAAAGCCCAGATCTCCTCCATGATATTCTCCCCATCACTCACTAGAAAACAGAGAAACTGTCAGCTTAATTCTTGGTGTCCAGGCAGGGAAAAGCAAGCAAGCAAGCAGTCATCTCAAATAACAGGAGGGACTCTGCTATTCTGGTCATAAAAAGGCTATATACCTACTCAAAATAAACAGAAGTGATGGAGAGGTGGATAGCTGGGTAGAATATCTTAGACTTTTTAAAAATAAGCAAGAAAGAAAGTGCTGGGAATTAAATTCCCAGGCTCATCAACTTCACGGCAGGACTGTCAACACTCCACCTTTCGACAGCTTCCTCCCTGTTACCGCTGAGCACGAATACTGACACTCGCCCCTCAGTTAAGCACGCACATCACAACGTGCCATTGCTACATGTCTTTCGGGTTAAAGGGCTGTTTCTCCTTTTCTACCGTCATGTCAAGGAGATGGCACTATGCGACTGATGGCAACAGCGGCCTTTCTGTGGCTCGCCTCTAAAGCGCCTCTAAACAGTTTTATCTGTTAGAAGTACTCTTCCTTTTGCCTTGGGTTGCAGCCTTTAAGTCCTCTTTCTGCAACACCTAATCAAAGGGGTGGGGTGGGGGGGTCCTCTGAATTACTGCCACAGTGCCAAACCCCAAATGCTGATAATTCAAGTTCCATATAAATCTTATGTTACTTTTTGGCCACTCACTTGAGTTTCTTGAAGGCTTCCCTGCCACCAGCCACATACTGCTCTCCACTCTGAAGCTCCTCCAGCTGCCGGACACGATGCCCACCCCGGGGGGTATAGATGTTACGCACAGCTCCAAAGGGTGCCTTCACCCTGCCCGTCACCTCTTTCAGGAACACCTCAAAGTTGGAAACTTTCTTCTCGTTGACGACAATACGACGCCCCGGGAAGAAAGGGTCCCCGTTGCGATACACCAGCACGCTCTTCACCATCGGCTGCGAGAGCCACGACCCCTTGGCGCCAGCGCTGGTCATGCCCGACGGCCTTCGGACCCTCCTGCTCAACCCCAACCGCCCGCCTGCCCGCGCCCGTTTGCTCAGGAGAAGGTCCCTGCCTCAGCACCCCTCTCACCTCCACCCTCACGAAGAGGGGGGGTAAAGGCCCCGCACACCCACGCAGGGGCCTGGGCAGCAGGGCCCACCTCCGGGGAGGCAGAGGAGGGAGCCCGGCGCCGCGGGGAGGGATTACAACCACCCCCGGGAGGAGAAAGGGGGGGCTTGCGGTAACGGAGAGCGTCTCTTCCTAGGCAACCGCCTCCTGCTGCTCCCTGGGGAGGCTAACGGGGATCACGCGAACCCAGGCAAAAGAAAAAAAAACAAACCAAAAAACCCCAAACAACCCCAAACACTGCGCGGGGGTAGATCGGACGCAGCAGGAAAATGGACTGCAGGGGACCCGCGGCCTCTCAGGGTCTTTATCCTCCGGCTTGGCCATCGCGGAGAGCCCGCCACCACCACCCTGGTTTCCTCGGGAAACCTTATCCCGCGTGTGCTCGTCCTCCCCCCACCCGCTCCCGGCGGAATTATTCACCAGGCGACGGCAGGGGGAAGGAGGACGAGGAGGCGTCGTGCCCGGAGGCAGGGAGAGGCACGCGGGGGCAAGGGGGAACCGGACCAAGGGCCCCGCACCTGAGCGAGGGAGGGAGGGAGGGAGGCAAGTCCCCGCTCTGCCTCCTCCTCCTCCTCCTCCCCGGCGGCCGAGGCGCTGCCTACCGCCGGGGCTCCCCGCCACAAGGGAAAGGCCGGCCGGCTGAGGGAGGGGGAGAAGCGGCGGCCGGGAGACGTTGAGCCGCCTCAGCGCTCCCACGGCGCGGCCGGCGGGGCGGGGTGAGGTGAGGCGGAGCTGCCGTAAGATGGCGGCCCCGCGCCAAGGCGGGCTGCCGGCGAGCGGCCCTTCCCCGCCGGTAACGGTCCCCTTCCCACGGGAGACGGTGAGTACAGGGGGAAGCACCCGCGGAGCTGTTCCCTGACGGGCTCTGGTTCTCCGCCGTAAAGGGCCGGTGGCCGGTAGCGGCCCGGCGCCTGCCTTCCCGCCCGCACACCCCGCGGTTGTGCCGGGTTTGGCCCCCGCTGGGGCGGGCGGAGGAGAAGGGTGGCTGAAAAACATGTTATTTCGTTCCAATCTGGCCGTCTCTTCTTGGGATTTCTTACTAAAGGGGTCAGTTTTTCCCTCCTCAAGAATAAAACAGGCTTTTTACTGGACCTTCCAGGTCAGGGTGACGAAAACGTTAGGCAGCTGGCCCGGCGTGGAGGCGAGGGCAAGCCGCAGCCCTCACCAAAAAGCGGTTTTCTACAACAGGAGTGACCACTTCAGGCTCTCTGCCCTGAATTCTTTGCCATATTCCTTTGCTGATTCCGATACAGTGTTTCTTCACTGGAGATGTAGTTCTTTGGTGCCCGATTTTGGTTCATTATTAACATCTAACGATTACCACTTGTGTGTGCAGGATGGTCCATGTACCAAGCAAACGAACCAATGAAAAATCATACCTACCGGTATTTATTCTGTTCTTACTTTACTTCTTGTCAGTCACTAAAAATCCCACCTGAAAACTGGATCTTTGCTCCAGGTTGCCTGTTGCCATTTGCTGTAATTCAGAAATAAAGCTGAGCCGTGATCTTGAAAGGAAAAAATTATCAGTAGGGTTGAAATTAGGCTCTTGGACTACGCAAATTAATTGCATGTATGTAAAGGCAATTGATTTTTATTTTTATTTTTTTTTTAATGTGCCTACTAACATGATGCCCTCTGAATGTGTTTTTGAGATGATATGTAAAAGTTGCAGACACTGTTGGGGTGCTTTTCCCCCATCCTACCATCTGAATAGGCAAAATTTGCTAGTAACACAAAACTAAACTGCACTCCCCCAGTATTTGGGTAAGTTTAGTTATTTGCATTCCTGAAAGCTTTTCAGTACTTGTGTCATTCTTTGTTTAAGTGAGTCTATTATAATTGGTTCTCTTAAGAATCCGGGCTCTATCACAAGAGCTAATACCACTTCTGCTGAGATGGCCCAAACCTGCAGTTCTGTCTGGGTAACTTCAGTTAATCAGACTCAGAGGTGACTTGCCCCACTAAACCAAGCTCACATTTGAAATACACCATGAACAGTAGCCTGATAAATCAGAAGAATATCCCTGGGCACAATTTATTTTTAACAAAAATACATCAACCGAATAAAACAGAAAAACAATAGATAAAAAATGTAAAATAACCCATTTGTGGTTCAAAGAACATAATGTAAAGTCAAACTGGGTTAATGTTGCACTCTTTCCTAAGTCAATTTCTATAATTCTACATAGTAGATATGATATAGCATATATAAAAAATATATATTAATATACATATTGAGGACCAGATCCAACCTCTACCATCATCAAAAGACTTCCTTAGATTTCACAGATAAATATATCAGATCATGAAATCATCCTGATACCATTTTCATCTTAAACTATTTTAAAAACTTCTTAAACAAATGATCCACTTGAAGCTGCATTTTCCTTGCTAATTCTCAGCCAAACATCTCCAGACTGTCCACTGTTGGGAAGTAACTTTGGATATTGCATTATCAGAATAGCAGATTTTTTTTTTTAATCTCCTCAGATTATTAAAAGTTGTAAAAAATCAATCAAGCATGCATCTTATGGGTTTATTCAAAGAACAGATGAGTCTCTGATGTGTCCAAACAAATTCTGAGTGCAGATAAGTAAGTTTTCTTTACTTGAAAACACCTTAGGTGTGCTTGGGATGTGACTTTTGGCTATACTTTTTAATGATATCTGCTTTGCTCTTTCCAGGAAGCTGCATAATAAAATACAGAGACTTTGATTCCACTGGATTTTTGCCACACCTTGGGTACAAGAAGCCATAAAACCTAAGAGAAAATAAATAGAAAATGCCTTAAATTCAAGCTGAATTCCTTTAACAGCCCCTTTTCCCCACTGACTGTCGAAAGACTCAAACTGGTCTAGACCTTCCTACCCGGAATTGTTTAGTGTACAGTAATGACTGTTCTTCCAAATGGATTTCAACACATGTGATGGAAGGAATTTTTCTTTCCTTTTTATCTTGCCTCCTTTGATGGGAAAATTGCCCCCCTGCTGTGAGTTACAACAGGGCAGTTAACCATTACAAAAAGAGCAATTTCAGGGTGAGGGAAGTCAAATATGCTACTGTTATTGGTTAACAGTTAAATTTCTCAGCTTGCTGCTGGTTTTCTTCTAACTAATAAAGGGGAGAACCAAGCATTTACCATCCTTGAATTAATACTGTTTAACATTGATCTACTGCAACCTGAAATGAAAATTTGTATTAAAAATAGGCTTATGTGTAAAAACCAAAAATGCTGATGACCTTCACATGGTTCTGCGCTCAAGTAGTGATACGTCAACTATCTGCTATTTTGTGCCAGATTCTACCACTTTTGGTGGTCTTAGGCCTAATTTGCGACCATGCAACATCTTTGGCATAAGAATAAGCCACAGAATATTTTACTCGTGCACCCATTTTGACACTTGTGCTACTCCAGAGCACTGTTGGTCTTTTATCTATGGCCACGCTAGTTACAATCACTTTTGTGGATTGCGGTAAAATATCCCTTAAGTGGTACCAGACCACTGCTAGCCTTAAAGTGGCCTAGAACTGGTGGGCAAAATCTTTGTCCAAAACTGGGAGCACATTACAAATCCTTTGAAGAATTGCAGTGCAGAATTTTGCCCGTAGTTTAACCTTTACATAGCTAATAGATGTGCCTCTAAAGACTTCATCTTTCAAATTCAGCTGCTTGCATTTCTGCCCTCTAGCCCTTTACTTGTGCTGCCGTGGAATCTCACTGTTTTCTTACTCTTAAGGCAACACCTTCAAATTCAGCCCCTGAAAAGCAACCATGACTGTCCAGCCCACTGTGGGCTACAGAGCCCACTGTTTCACACCAGCCTTTTCAGAACAAAACATTTTATTTTCTTCAGTAACAGGAACAAAACCAAAGCAGAGTGTTTCCAGTACAGTATAAAGTCAGCGTTTTTTCCATCTTGCCTGAGCACAACTGCTGCCCGAAAGCTAAAAAAAGCTCAAACGCTTCAGCGCATGATAGCAGGGCCTTCGTCCATGAGAATCTGCTCCTTGTAGCCTTTCCAGGGCCTGACCTTTTATCCCCACTATTGTTTCAGTTTCTAAGCAATCTCCTGTCACATTCTCAACAGTAACAGGCCACACTGCTGAACCCACTGACACAATTAAGATAAATGGAGAGACACATAATCTCTTTATGATGGAATAATATCAGACCTCTCATCTTACTTGAGGCTGATGCATGAGACCACGTCAGTCAGGTCGTGTGTCAGGATCACATGATGGACCTGAGGTCACGTAGCAAGCACATCTTGGGGATCTGATGAGAACAGAGCCGTGGCACAGACACATAGCGTCAAACAGGACCACTTTTTCTGCAGCAAAATGCCGTGAGGTCTCTGCCATTTCAGGACCAGGAAAGATTTTGCAGCTTGTTGCTGGTCCTTGACAACAAGGCTCAGTGACAAGAAAACGTGAGGTCCTGAAGATGGGAGTATGTCCTGGTGCTGAAGAGAAGATCGATAGAATGGAAAAGGGTAAAGTTTCTAAACACAGAGAATGAAATTCAGCTTGTTCTATTGCACACAGTGCTGAGAATCACACTTAATAGCTACACTTTTGTGCAGCTTATCAAAAAATCAGACTAAGCTATAGCAGCCACTTTATTCCCAGTTGTAATTCTGGGATAATCAGACTGTCTGTATTGCCAGTTCAAAGCACATAAATACTGGGTGGTTCAACTCTCATGCACACACACTAACTGGAAGAAACAAAATACTGATGCAGTTGTAAATTTTAAAACCCATGTCATAGCAATTTCACCTACTTACACAATTGCCAGATCAAAAACTCCATAGAATACCAGGATCAATTATTTTTGCTTAAAAAAAAGCATTAGACAATC